TCTTTCCTCCGGCTCCCGCGCCGCCGAACTCAGCGCGGTTTTGTTCCCCAGCGAGGGTCCCTCCGGCAGAAGACTGAAGGCCCTTGGACGGGTAGGAGCACACACAGTGCATTGCAGGAATCAAGTGTTTCCTCGCAGGCGGCCATGGGCAAGACCCTGGTATTGGCTTACCGAGAGCTTTCTGGGTGCAGAGTATATGCTTAAAATGCCCTTGTCCCCCCTCCACACCCCAGCCCTCCCACACATACACCCTTAAACCTTTCAGCGGAGCTAAAAGTCCTGAAGTCAGGCTTCTCCAAATAGAACTCGAAATCGTAGGAACATCTGAACGATGTGTTATCTCTGGCTTTGGAGACAAACCTGAGTTCAAACTTCCTCTCTACCCCTTAACACAGTGGTTCCCAAACTTATTTGGCCTACCGCCCCCTTTCCAGAAAAAATATTACTCAGCGCCCCCTGGAAATTAATTTTTTTTAATTTTAATAGCAATTAAACAGAAAGATATATGTATTAATGTTTCTACCTTTTTCGTAAAATATAGTAAAGAAAGGTGTAAATTAGAAACATTGAAGTTTGAAATTATGAAACTATTTATTGAACTCAGAATAGAAAGGTAATACAAAAAAAAGTTAAAACAAATGCACCTGTGGCCATCACCGCCCCCCTGGATCGCTGCAGCGCCCACCAGGGGGCGGTAGCGCCCACTTTGGGAATCACTGCCTTAACACCTTGTACAGATACTTGAACTGCACCTGGCCTCTGTTTCCTCTTTTGCTTGTTGTGAGAACGAAAAAGAGTGTATATCCGCTTTTGCTATTGCCAGGACCTTCTCTTTCAGTAGGAATCACGAAGTTAGAAGTTACCTGCCCTTCTACTCTGTCCTTTACAAAGAAGGTCTCCCCAGAAGCTGGCTTGTGCCCTGACTCAGAGTTGAACTTACAACCTTATGATGTATGGGATGACGCTCCAACCAGCTGAACCACCCAGCCAGGGTTCATCTGGGCTCATTTTTTTTCTGCCTGAGCCTTCCTTTATATTTCTTACGGTGTAGTTTTCTGTGGCTTCTTGTAGTCTGTAATGTGGAAATGTATTCTTTTCAGCTTTCATGTGTTTGAATATGTCATTATTTTTTTGCTGTCACTTTTGAAAGATTATTGCTAAGTATAGGATTCTGTGTTGACAGTATTTCTTTCAGTATTTTAAAGATATTCCTCTACTATATTATCACTTGCATTATTTTTGGTAATAAATCTGATGTCACTCTTATCTTTATACATGATCTGCCTTCTTCCTCTGGATGCTTTTACAATTTTATTTTTATCATTTTTTTCCCCATTTGGTTTTCATGTGCCTTAATGAACCATGAACATACAAGAATTTTGAGTGGCGTTCAAACTTATATTTCCTGGTTAGAAATCTAGGGATTCCTCTTGATGTCTCCTTGTTCCACACCCCACCCACCCCATCTAGGTAGCAGATACTCTTAAGTCTTTCATGTAAGCTAGTGGTCTCCACATTTTGTTTTTTGCTAGCATAACCTTCAAATAATTTTGAAAAATTTTATATTCTTGTACTTATTAAATTTGATATCTAAGATTTTCCTCATAAACTTAAGTAGTTATAAGGTTCATAATCTTTTGTGACTTGTATAATGAATATGCACTTTCAATTTATTTTCATCAAAATGTTGGGGCTGCAGATTTAGCTCATTCAAGTTTTGGAAAATGCTCACCATATGAATTAATTGTCGAAATTAATCCTCACTGGAAAAACAGTCAGCCAAATTGGAGTTTCTATTAGAAAAAGTCTGTCTTTTTTCAACTCAAATAATGATGTTAATAGGTATCTCTCTGATAACCCTTTTACTTCTGAATTTTAAGTTAAATTTATACATTTTAAGTTGCATTTATACATAACCTGGATGATGATAAGTTGCTGTCCCATTTAATATTTCTTGGTGAATCTCTCTCAGGTTTGTTGTCATTGGACTTTTCCTCAGGAAGAATGTATTGGCAACCTGAAGTGAGATTCTGGATGAAGAATTTGCCTTTCCTTTGTGTAGTAGGAGAAGGATGATTGAAAACGGAAGTTGGAAAGAGAACCCGTAGACTTCAGTCTCATTTTCAGGCAGGTACAATTCATTTGTATCATTACCATCTTGATTTAGTATCTAGTGTTGTTGTGTGGTTCTTCAAGTCATTTTAATCATCTATGGTAAGGAGATTTCTACGTTGAGGAGCCAGGCAGAGGCTGTTGTAATTTCTTAACTATCATGCTCTCTAGCCACACAGGTCCCCTTTCAGGTCCTGGAATACCCTAGGCTCTTAGCAGCCCCAGGGCCTTCTTGTGTGTTGTTCCTCAGCTGGCAGTGCCCTCCCCATCTCCCCCTGACTCCTAACCTGACTAACTCCTACTAATCCTTTGGTCTCAGCATAATTGTCACTTTCTTAGTGGGTCTGTCCTTGACCAAAGTGTTTACTATGTGTCCGCTTCTGTGCTAAATTGCTTTACATACAATATTTTATTTCATCTGAATTTGGTCCTCAGTCCCATTTTCTCTCATAGTAGTTGGAATTTTTCCTTTAAAGCCCTTATCATCGTTTGTAATTAAGCACATATTTTTGTGCTGAATCCCTTAGGAGACGATAAGCTTTCTCCATGTCTCTGCATTCCTGGTGTCTAGCATGGTAACTGGCAGACCATAGACACTCAGAAAATGCTTGGTGAATGAACAAATGAATGGGAAACATTTAGAAGGAGGTTGGCCCCTTCCCCTCTCCCCCCCTCAACTTTTTCTCTCTAGGTTATTTCATCAATTCTATTGGATTTAAATACCATCTAGATCAGCCGTGGGCAAACTACGGCCCGCGGGCCGGATCCGGCCCGTTTGAAATGAATAAAACTAAAAAAAAAGACCGTACCCTTTTATGTAATGATGTTTACTTTGAATTTATATTAGTTCACACAAACACTCCATCCATGCTTTTGTTCCGGCCCTCCGGTCCAGTTTAAGAACCCATTGTGGCCCTCGAGTCAAAAAGTTTGCCCATCCCTGATCTAGATGCTGGTAAGTCCCCACTTTTTATCTGCA